CCACCCCCTGATCACCCCTGCTCTGTGGGTGATAGAGGGCGGTGCCCCACCCCCCTGATGGCCCCTGCTGTGTGCGTGACAGGGTACAGAGCCGCAACCCCCCCATCGACCCCTTCGTGTGACAGGGGGCGGTGACCCAACCCCCCAATCAGCCCTACCCTGAGCGTGACTGAGAGTGGCATCACAATCTCCCGATCGCCCTGCTCTGTGTATGACAGGGGGCGGTGCCCCAACTCCCCAATCGGCCCTGCTCTGAGCCCAACCAGGGGCTGCACCTAGGGATTGTGCCTGCCCTCTGCCAGCCGGGAGCAGGCCTAAGCCAGCAGGTTGTTATCTCCCGAGGGGTCCCAGACTGCGAGAAGGCACAGGCCGGGCTGAGGGACCCCCTCGCCCCTGAGTGCACAAATTTTTGTGCACCGGGCCTCTAGTATATATATATAATATATACACACACACACAAGACTGACCAAACCAAACATTGCTTAGGATGTGAAGAAACTGGAACTCATACACTGCTGGTGGGAAATAAACAGAATCACAACTTTGGGAAATAGTTTGGCAATTTCTTAGTAAGTTAAATATACACCTAGTACATGAAGCAGGTATTTCATTCCTAGATATTTACCCAAGAGAAATGAAAACATATGTCCAAACAAGGATTTGTGCACAAATGTTCATAGCAGTTTTATTTCTAGTAACCCCAAACTGGAAACAACCTAAATATCCATCAATAGGTGAGTAGATAAGTAAACTGTGGCATATTCATGTAATGGAATATTTACTACTCAGCAATATAAAAGACAAATTAACTCATTTCCACAACTATATGGATGAATGTCAAAATAATTATACTGAATGAAAGAGGACAGCTTAATTATGTTGTGTAATCCTGTTTATATAAAATTCTAGAAAATGCAGACTAGCCCTACCTGGTTTAGCTCAGTGGATAGAGCGTCAGCCTATCTACTGAAGGGTCCTGGGTTTGATTCCAGTCAAGGGCACATGCCAGGTTGCAAGCTCGATCTCCAGTAGGGAACATGCAGGAGGCAGCCGATCAATGATTCTCTCTCATCATTAATATTTCTATCTCTCTCTCCCTCTCCCTTTTTGTCTGAAATCAATAAAAATAAAAAAATAAAATAAAAAAGAGACAAAAGAAACAGTAAATCTGAAATTAAAAAAAAAAAGAAAGCAAAGAGCCCTGGCTGGTTTGGCTCAGTGGATAGAGCGTCGGCCTGCGGACTGAAGGGTTCCGTGTTCAATTCCGGTCAAGAGCATGTACCTCGGTTGTGGGCACATCCCCAGTGAGGGGTGTGCACGAGGCAGCTGATGGATGTTTCTAATTCTCTATCCCTCTCCCTTCCTCTCTGTGAAAAATAAATAAAAGATATTTTTGTAAAAAAAGAAAGAAAATGCAGACTAATCTATAGTGACAGAAAGCAGATCAATGGTTGCTTGGGAATGGGGATGAGGACGGCTGGTGAGGGGAATGGGAGGTAAAAGAGAGGGGCATTAAACTTTGGGGAATAATGGATATTTATTATCTTGATTATGGTGATGGTTTCACAGGTGTAAACCTATGTCAAAAATTTACCCATTGCCGAAACCGGTTTGGCTCAGTGGATAGAGCGTCAGCCTGGGGACTGAAAGATCCCAGGTTCGATTCCGGTCAAGGGCATGTACCTGGGTTGCGGGCACATTCCCAGTAGGAGATGTGCAGGAGGCAGCTGATCGATGTTTCTCTCTCATGGATGTTTCTAACTCTCTATCTCTCTCCCTTCCTCTCTGTAAAAAATCAATAAAATATATTTAAAAAAAAAAATTTACCCATTATAAATTTTAAATATGGCCCGGCCAGTGCAGGTCAGTGGTTGAGCATAGGCCTATGAACCAGGAGGTCACAGTTCAATTCCCAGTCAGGGCACATGCCCGGGTTGTGGGCTCGATCTGTTTTTATCTCTCTCTCCCTCTCCCTTCCTCTCGGAAATAAATAAAAATATTTTTTAAAATATGAAGTTGAATATAGTCTATTATACCTAAAAATACACACCCTGTTTTGTTTTTGTTGTTGTTTTGTTTTTAATATATTTTATTGATTTTTTACAGAGAGGAAGGGAGAAGGTATCCACTGAGCCAAACCAGTTAGGGCCACATCCTGTTTTTAAAAAGATAAACAACTGCCTAACCGGTTTGGCTCAGTGGATAGAGCTTCGGCCTGCAGACTGAAGGGTCCCGGGTTCGATTCCGGTCAAGGGCATGTACCTTGGTTGTGGGCACATCCCCAGTAGGAAGTGTGCAGGAGGCAGCTGATCAATGTTTCTCTCTCACTGATGTTTCTAACTCTCTATCCCTCTCCATTCCTCTCTGTAAAAAATCAATAAAATATATTTAAAAAAAGATAAACTACTGTCTAAAGCAAAAATAGTAATATATCATGCAGTTTATAATAGATAAAATGTATGACAACAGTTACATAATGGATGGGAAGGAGGCAATCGAAGTAAATAGCAAAGGACTCTTACACTATTATACTACACATGAAGTGGAATAATATCAAAGATTAATTTAAATGTTATTTTTTGAAAATAAAAAGATCTAGAAGTATGCTAAGTTTGCTAAAGCCATGTTGTTTATTTGGGGTTTATAAAGATTACAATCTGGGAAGATATTTCTGTAAATCACAGAGACTATGGAAGTTTTCTAATGAGTCTATAGCATGCTTGGCAGGATATGACTTGTTCTTTTGCTTTTCTGCTTTATAATGGGATGTAAAGCTAACCTTCTCATTATTGCTGCTGCTATCTAAACATTTAAGTTCTAATAACACTACTTAATGGAGCTGGACAGACCTTCAAGTGCATCGCAGCGATGCCACTGCTTGCCAGCTGTGAGACTTCAGGCAAATGCTGAACACTTGAGCTCAGAGAGATGCCAACAGGACCTCTCTCATAGGGTCATGAGAGGATGAAAAGAAATAACACTTCTAGAGCACTTATTAGATTCCTTGACACAGAGTAAGTACTAATAAATGGCTATTCTTTTTTTTTTTTAATATATTTTATTGAGTTTTTACAGAGAGGAAGGGAGAGAGATAGAGAGTTAGAAACATCCATGAGAGAGAAACATCGACCAGCTGCTTCCCGCACACTCCCCACTGGGGACGTGCCCACAACCAAGGTACATGCCCCTGACCGGAATCGAACCCAGGACCTCCCAGTCCGCAGGCCGACGCTCTATCCACCGAGCCAAACCGGTTTCGGCATAAATGGCTATTCTTATTATCAAGATTATACTAAAGGAGAAAACAAACACTAAAAATATTTGTGTTTTTTAATCAGGAGGCATCCAAGATTCTAGTTTCAAAGAACACTAGAAGGTATCACCCTGGAAGGAAATTTGTTCTCATTGTTAATAGTCAAGTCATGCATCCAGGTATCTGCTGAACAAAAAACAGTCTAAAATTCTCCTATATTTACAATCTTGGAGAGCACAGCAGGGGCCTTAGCTTCGATGATGTATAAAACAAAGTCATCTAACGGATGTGTTAGGAGCACTGGAGGACGTGGGAATCCCAGGCCCTGGGAAGTGAACCCGCTTCTCATTTCCTCCCACAAAGCAGTTCTTTTGAAAGGCCGACTTACGTTTAAAGAGAAAATTATGTCCACAATTAAAATTCCTTTTAACATACCATCAACTGCAATACTTGGGCTTTAATATTTTGAAAAATACTAACTGCATTCAGTTACAAAATGGGAGGAGTCCACCCCTGAAAGAGATAGGCCATTATCCCACAGAGAAATCATATTAAATTATGGAGCCATGATAAATATTTCAAAGGACATGATTCTAATCACCCTTCTTGTAATCTTGCCAGTTGGATCAGTTCTAGGACCCACCACTTGGCAACTGAGCACAAGGGTGACCTCAGTGCCTGCTCACCTGAGACTCACCTCGGTCTCTCTGGAGAGGGGTTGGGGCTGCGGGGAGGAGGTGTGCGGGGCACAGCTGGCTTCGGTGCAATGCTGGCTGCAGGTAGAAGGCCATGGATGATGTGTTTCTGCACAAATAAAACCCAGAACAGATCACTGGTGTAAAGAATCACCTGGGTCCTGTCACCACCACTCCCTAGGCCTGAGAAGGGACACTGGCAGTTCAGGGATCTAGCCCCACCAGAAGGTCCACTCCTCCCCTTGCTCATCTGGCCCGGCAAGCATGCCCACCCAGGGAGCACCATTACCGCTGCCTATAGTGGGGCCTTCTCACCTTTCCTCCTCAGAGCAGCTTTCCTGAACCCTAGGGGAGCCCCGAAGCACCTCCACTTACTTGTCTTACAGCACTGCCTCTGGTGACCCTAGGCACTCACTTGCCAACCCCCTACAGAACAGAAGCTTCCTGGGAACAGGCAACGGTCTTGTCTTTATCAACCCTGAACTCCAGCACTTAGCACTTTGTTCTACACCTGTAGATTTTAGGTAGTTTTGATGATGCAGAATAACAAAAACTAGTTCATATACACATTGAAAGTAGGGGAATCTGCTTTAGGCAACTGGGAGTCTCTCAGAAGTTTCTGAGAATAGCCCAATCATATTCTGTGCACCAGCCATTCATTCACACCTACTAGAAGCAAAACACCATGACAGCAATTAATACACCTTGTCGACATCCTCAAGGAGGGAGAGTACAGAGGAAACCATGCCAGAACTTATCATACAACGGGGAACTACGGAATGTGCCAGGGGAAAGGTAAGAAAAAGTGCTGAGGTGACACAGGGAGGGAAGGGGGCCTCTTGGAGAAAACCACAGAGAAATTTAGACTAGATCTTCAAAGATGGCCACTGCTCTCACATTTGGGAAATATGAAGGAAAGGATTCTAGGAAGAGGGAACAGCATGAACAAAGGAATAAAGCAAGACATTAGTGGCAGTGCTCTGGAAATAACAAGTATCCAGTTTGCGGGATTATAGTAATATAGAGGCATCTGAGAGGGAGAGGCTAGAACAGTGATGGCAAACCTTTTGAGCGCGGCGTGTCACCATTTTGTAAAACCCTAACTTAACTCTGGTCCTGTGCACATATAGAAATTTTTTTGATATTTGCAACCATAGTAGAACAAAGACTCATATTTTTGATATTTATTTTATATATTTAAATGCCATTTAACAAAGAAAAATCAACCAAAAAAATGAGTTCGCATGTCACCTGACACGCATGTCATAGGTTCGCCTCACTGGGCTAGAACATTGGGTTGGGAATAAGCATGGGGATTGTTTCCATTGAAGAGTTTTGAAACAAGACTAAGGTGTTCCTGTGGCCTAGTGAGGAGCACCCACTGAAAATGGCCCTGGAAAGATTAATGAAGCAGTGGTAGCCATAAGGTATGGGAGAGAAGAGAGGTACAACCAAGGGGAACAGCCAGGGTTGGGGGCATCCTTCAGGAGGGATGGGCAGACCTCCCAAATGCCTCCTGCAGCACCGCCCCCCCCGCCACCCTCAGTTTCACTTGCATGCCAACCCCAAGAACAGGCATTCCAGAGCAGTGTCTGTTGTATTCCTCTATTCTCTGTTTACCTCACTATGGAGCACCTACCATCCCGTACTGGTCACACAATTTGACAGTTTAATATCTGCCTCCTCCCCCATTCCCTATCTCCCCCCCCTCCAAACCCCACACCAAGGAGATGCTCAAGGAGAAAAAAGAAAAAAAGGTTGTTTTCTTCACCTTTGAATTCCTAGGGGCTCACATCCAGTATGGCTCACATCCTCCAAAAAGGCCTTCAACTCTAGAGACATTGCATGAGCTTTGCTTTTTTTTTAATAGAGTGAACCTCCCATAATACGCTAAACATTTCTCACTGTACCACTATAATCATTTCCAGCTGTGGCCCTCCTACCTCAGCCTCTAAAACACAGGATGAACCCATCTCAACCCACCAGGAAAACCCTCATGGGTAGCCCCCGTCTCTTGATGACAGGTAAAGGGCCTAGTGTGGCTGCTAAGCTGCTATCTGTTGGTTCCTCCCAATGAACACCAATGAAACCAGATTCATTTCTTGCTACCCGCCTCCTCTTCTCTACACATATTCTCTGTGATGAATCACTTAAGGGTTTGTCTATCCTTTGTACAGTGTGGCCATAGGCTGTCAATTAATTGTGGGTGTCTGACACAGAGCAGGAACTTAATAATGCCACGCTGAGTAAGTAAAATTGCAATGCAAAAATATGCCTCAAGTACGTCCTCCCTGCTTCTCAGCCTGTCTGAAATGCTCGCTGCAGGTGCGGGGGCTGCGAACAGGTAGGCAAGTCAGACATGCTTTCTATTTACCAAAATGCTTAAAGTATTACGTTTATGGGGAACTGGATATAGGCAAGCGGTGAAAGAGACAGCAGCACGGGAGTTGGGGGTGTATACAGGAGTGATGATAATGATAGACTATGGAATTAGAAACTAGGGCTGGAAATGAGGACAGTGAGAACACTGGTAAGATCAATAGATTGGTTGTGCGGGATGGGGGTGGGAGGTTTGTGTTAACGGATTGTTGGAGTCAGGTTACTAGAGCAAGTACGTAGCAAAAAAGGGCAAAGAAATAGCGAGGAGCTGCTGCATCAGTTCAGGTAGATGCAGCTGGACAGGCCGGGCGGGAACAGCTGCCGGATGTATTTGGTGGGTAGAATCTAAAGAACTTCTGACAGGGTGTCCGTGGTGGGTGGCGGGGAGGAATCAGGAATGACTCCCCATGGGGGACACCCAGCAGTGGGGCAGGTCTGTGGCGGGCAGGAGTGAGCTCCCCGACACCTGAGAGAACGACGTGGGGAGCCTGGGCGATTCCTGTCCGACTGGGGCTCACCTGGGATAAAGGATTCTTTAGAGCACAAAAGACCGGGCCTTTTCGAATGGTAAACCACTTCCCCATGCGCCGCTACCTGGACTCAATCTCAAGCCAAATCCCAAGCCCTCCTCCTTTAACTCCTGGCCCCCAGGCCAGGGCGCAGGCCGCGCAAGAATTTACTTACAAACTGGCTCTTGCGGCCTCTTGGAACCCCCAGGAGCATCTTTGCTGTGGGGAATGGTCCCAGCGGGTCTGGACCGACGAGCAAGTCTCCTCAAAGGCCAGGACCGCTCCCCATAGCCTGGTCCCCGCCCGCTGGCCGGGCCCCGGACGCTTTTTCTACTCAGGGGACTCCGCAACAACCACGTCTGCTACTGGCTCTGCTCTCCCACCGGCCAATTAGAGCCAAGGATACTTCATACCCGTCGCTCTTGGCAACCAGCGGGTCCCATTCAAAATCCCTCCGGGGCGGAAACTGTGCTGCTGTCCGTTCTCTTATTGGCCAGAGGAGATGTCGATCTCTGACGCCATAGCCTATCTCAGGCCCTGCGAAGCGGAGGGCTGGCAAGACACAGGACGCGACTGTGGAACCAGGGCTCGGAGGTAGCTGGGGTTTGAGGAGTCAGGAAGGTGACGAAAATGAGCGACTGGGCTTCCAGGACAGGAATCTCCTGGTTCTTAGGCTTTGGCAAATAATTAGAGACACTGACGACCGGCTCCTGCCGAGAGGCCCCGCCCCGGCTTCGAGTAGAACGTGGGGCGGTGTGCAGGACAGCCTTGCACTTCAATCTTGCATTTCCCTCTATAGATCGAGACCGCCATGGATAGGAACCCCCCTGATGGCACAGGCCCTGTGCACGTGCCTTTGGGGCACATTGTTGCCAATGAGAAATGGCGCGGGTCGCAGCTGGCACAAGGCATGCAAGGTCGGTGGGCTGCCCTCTGCATAAACTCTCTCTGTCCTCACCCCACTTTTAAAAAACGTTCAACCAACTGCTACCTTTTTTCATTCAAACTTATTTTCTTGTCTGCATTTTAAGGGAAAGTTAAACTTGTTTTCGAGGATGGCCTAGCACCGGTAGATTTTTACTTGTCGGTCAGATCCTGCATTCTTTATATCACAGAAGCCGATTTGGTGGCAGGAAATAGCTACCGAAAGAGGCTGGTTCGCGTTAGAAATGTAAGTACTGAATTGAAGAAACTGACATTGAAAATGAATTTCTAGTCCTCCTCCCTCTTGTGTATGGAATAATTTATATAAAACCATTAGCCATTCCAAGCACTTTTGGAAGGGATCGCTTTCTTAAGCTTGAAAGGAATTTTGTTACCAAATGGTTTGTTGTTTTTACTTTTCTTTGAAGTCCAGTAATCTTCAAGGAATTGCACTAGTTGAAAAAACGCCGACGAGTGAACAGTACTTCCCAGCCATACAGAAGTTCACTGTGCTGGACCTTGGGATGGTGTTGCTCCCAGTGGCCAGCCAGGTGGAAGCGTCCTGTATCATCATCCAGTTAGTAAGTACTGGTTCCCCTCTGCCATCAGAGCCCTGTCTTGAGGCTCTCAACTGACCTTCCTGGATCTTTTAGCAGCTGCCCTTGTTTGTTATGGTTCTGAGTCCATCAATGCAATCTAATCATTCTGTGTGGCTTTATAAAGCCTTTTTGAGGAATTTAAGTCCAGAAGCTGCCCCTGAAACCAGCTGAGCTTGATCCCTATTTTAGGCAACTGTGTAACAAGTGAGCAAGTTGGAGACCTGATTTGAGACTTCCAGGCTGTGATGACTCCCTCATTAATTATTCTGCCTTGACACTGGGGAAAAGGTCCTCTACCAGCGGCTCTGCCTCATCCCCACGTATCTTTTAAGCATTAGCATTCAGTGTGCAAGTTTATGTTGTTGTTTTTAAACCTCGTTGAAGATTATTCAACTTGATTGTACGTCAGAATTTTGTGGGAAAACTTTTCAAAACAGTAATACATGGGCCTTCCCTCAGACCAATTAAAAATCAGAATGTGGAGTAGGGCTTAAGCATCAATCTGTCTTATGTTGTTGTTAAATCTTCCCCTCTGACATGCAGCTAAGATTGAGAACCAAATTGTTCACAGATCCCTCCATGCTCTCTGCCATATTTTTTGTTTTACTGTTCCTAACTTTCCTTGCTGGAGTGCTATTATCTGCCTTTCTGAATCCATAACTAACTGAAAACTGGGTTTCTCTTTTGATAGGCAGGTCTCCTTTGTCTTATGTTGTTGTTAAATCTTCCCCTCTGACATGCAGCTAAGATTGAGAACCAAATTGTTCACAGATCCCTCCATGCTCTCTGCCATATTTTTTGTTTTACTGTTCCTAACTTTCCTTGCTGGAGTGCTATTATCTGCCTTTCTGAATCCATAACTAACTGAAAACTGGGTTTCTCCTTTGATAGGCAGGTCCAATTTAGAGATAGTCATCACTTAATCTCATACAACTGAAACATTTCTTAGTGGATCATAGGAACAAATTTGAATTCCTCAGAGTATGTTTTCATTGGTTTTATCCTAACCATTCTGGAAACCCAAGTTTTTATTTTTAAAAATTTTATCTCTTACTTCTTTGTGTAGTCATATGGTTCACCTTTCAATAATTTTGCTGATGAAAATTTGTATTCATATGAAAACATTTGTAGTGAGAAGTTGAACCAAATTTAAAAACTGAAACAACTGTTAGTCCTCTAGAGGGTGCTCACAGGCTGGCTCTTCAATTTCGGTTTAGGTTCAAGAGCAAACCAAAGAGCCCAGTAAGAACCCTTTTCTCCGGAAGAAACAGGCTCAGCTTTCTGAGCCATTCTTACTTCGAACTGTGCAGCAGATCCCAGGAGTTGGGAAAATCAAAGCTTCCCTTCTGCTTCAGAAGTTCCCGAGTATCCAGCAGCTGAGTAATGCTTCCATCCAAGAACTGGAGCAGGTTGTTGGGCAAGCAGCAGCACAGCAAATTCATGCGTTCTTCACACAGTCCCGGTGACAGCCCTTCTCACAGCATCCACTACGGATTCTGCTTTACACCGCCAACGACAGGATCTTGTTTTCTTTTCATGTTTAAAAATCAAGAAAAAAAGATTTCCTCTCACAGCAACTAGTGACCGATGAGATGAGGCCTGAGTGGAACCTGCCAGCTGCCCTGTGCTGCTGTGTGCTGTCACTTAAGTTGGTGCTGCCCTGGTTCCGCTACCATGAAGAGGGCCAGTGGCGATCTTCCGAAGAGAGTCCCTTGAATTAGAGACTCTCAGATTGATAAAAAAGCCAACTTGGGCAGATTTGAATGTGTGACCTTGACCTACATCTGTAATGGAAAGGTCTTACCAGGTTTCAGTGGTTATAACCTTCTAAAGGAGACAAACCTACAATGAAGCACTGTGTACCATAAGCCCCTTGTTCCTGGTGGCAAAGCCACTGTTCTTCAGGTCTGGTCTTAATATACCTGTGCTTCGAGGGTTGCTGCCAGTGTAAATAAGTTGTACAGCCTTTGTGTTTCCTCCCTCAATCGCTTCCTTTATGGTGGCTGCACAGTTTGTTTATCATCACTGGGCACATCTGAACACAGAAAGCCTGGAGTGGAGAGAACCCACTTAAAGATAAAAAGCCAATGTGTGTGTGGGGAGAGCGGGAGGGGAGAATGTGTTTGTAAATGTATAGCCCAACAATGTGAAGATACACAGGAAAATGGCAGGGCAGCTGTGTCCAGAAAGATCTGGGGATAAAAAGGTACACTTGCCTCTTCAAAAAATAAATACTGCCCTCGCCAGTTTTGCTCGGTGGTTAGAGCGTGAGCCCTCGGACTGAAGGGTCACAGGTTCCATTCCCAGTCAAGGGTACACACCTCAGTTGCAGGCTCAATCCTGCTCCAGTCAGGGCCCATGAGGGAGGTAACCAATTGATGTCTCCCTCCCTCCCTCCCATTCTCTCTAAAACTAATGGAAAAAATATCCTCGGGTGAAGATTAAGTAAATAAATAAATAAAATTAAAGATGCCATATGTTTTCAAAGATACTAAGATAACTTGAAAGTCTAGTTTTGTGAAATGTTACTAGTTTTTTAAAAAGCCAAACAATGAAATCATTTGTGCATTAGGATAGAAACATTTTGAAAGGAGAGAATTAAAGTGAAAAAGTAAAAAACATTAACTCAGGCAAATGAATCTGTTTATTTTAAACTTTCCCAAAGGTGTTGCTTCCCTTTTGATATTGCACACTAGAGAACATTTTAAATTCTTGTTAATTCTCAAAATTAGATCTCAATGCTATGTTTTTAAACTATATAACTTGTACTATGTCAACAGTGAATCTTGTTAGAATCACGGTATCATCCACCTTATAGCATGAGAAATCAACTGGTAAGAATGTCATTTTAAAAAGTCAAATGAATCATTTACATCATTACCTTATAAAATTCAACCCATTTCAAAGACTTAAAATATACAATTATGTACTTTCTACTTTAAACAAAATGAAAAATGTTTTGAGTATCAAACAGTATATTATCTACCTTGTAGACAGCATCTCCATCTAACACTGCCGCTGTGTTAGCCACTTGTGAATGACATGTAACTAGAAGGAAGGCTACTCCAAAACTGCTTATCTAATAAGTCATGACAAATTGGATACCAGGCTTTATCTGGAAATTGCATTCATATTATATAGAAATAGTAAAATCTTGTCATTTTCGGTTAATGAAGTACCCTTAGAAAGCAGTTCTTTGTAACCTTTTTAGTAATACTAATTTAAACCCATCGTTATGGTCCCTTGACTGCCTTAATTTGGGCTCATCTAGATTCTGAGTTAAGGAATGATCTATTACCCAAGCCTGGAAACTTACAAATAAGACCAATATAGGTAACCCCAATTTAACTTTGATGGTAAAAGTCATAGTTGTAGCCATTAAAAATAGTCATATTTTCATTACTATTCTATTTACAATACTTTGTATAATAAATAACATGCAGCAATATGGTGACATTCCTTGAATAAATTTGTTTTCCACACAATTCTAGAAGTTTCTTGTTACTTTCACTCATAGACATCCATTGTAAGGTTACACTGTGAGAAAACAGGATGAGGATATTTAGAAATTTCCCGTTATGGCACAAATATGAAGGCCTAGCCAGCACTGGAAATGTTTTGGGCCTGAGCGTTTTTGTTTCCTCGCATTAGTACATAGAACTGTCGGAGTTAAGAAGGCCGAAAGGAGATGGGAGCTTCCCTGTGCAGTGTGGAGGGCAGAGGAAGTGACCTACAAATGGCACGTTTTGTCTCTGCTGTCACTTCTTTTAAAAATATTTTTTTTTATTGATTTCAGAGGGAGAGGTAGAGTAGATAGAAACATCAATGATGAGAGAGAATCATTGATCGGCTGCCTCCTGCACGCCCCCCACTGGGGATCAATCCCACAACCCAGGCATGTGCCCTTAACTGGAATCGAACCTGGGACCCTTCAGTCCACAGGCTGACGGTCTATCCACTGGGCCAAACCAGCCAGGGCTAGATTTAGGTTCTTAAAAACAAGGACAATTTTTAAGGAATACACTCACTTTTTAAGGTTCTTATATTTGAAAAAGTAATACATACTCATGGTCAACAATATGAAAATACGTAGAGTGAACAGTAAATGTTCCTCCTACTTTTGTTCCAGGCCCTTCTGAGTTAAACATGATTTCTGTTGCACTTTTGGAGATAACGTTCACATACAGGTAATCTGTGCGTAAGTATATGTCACCATTTGGTCTTACCTTAAAAGGAACACTACACACTGACTGGTTTGCATCCTGCTTTCTTCACTTAACGTATCTTGGATTTCAGGCTATGCTATTAGGTATAACAAAACTTCATTCTCTTTAAAGACAATATCAAATCCACAGTGAGGATGCCATTAACTTTCCCCCCTACTTAAGTGGTATAGTCCTGTAGTATCCGATCTAATAAAAGAGAAACATGGTAATTGGCGTATGACCTCTACCCTTCCCATTGGCTAATCAGCAAGATATGCAAATTAACTGCCAGCCAAG